CCCCAAGTGACCGCGATCCAGAGTTTTCATGGTCTCTATGATATGATCATGTGCTCCAAATCCGTGGGTGGGTCATCGGAATCCCCGGGACCGGCACATGCTTGGCCTGCATCCGGCACAAAGCTTCCCGAATGAACCCCGTCCTGCATACCAGCCCCTAGATCCTTGCTCGAGGCACTGCTGGAGCAGTCAGTCGGGCAAGGAAGTGTCGCCAGGCGCCGCGTAAAACACCCAAAGAGCACAGGCAAGGGCAGGCGCGCTCGTTGGCCATGGCGTCGTGGCGCGGCTTAGCTGGGCACAGCGGGTCCCTTGACCGATCTGGCTTTGGGCTACAGGGCACAGAATGGGAAATTGGCTTTAAGTCTGCATCTCATCTTCCAGTGCGGCCGAAGCCTGAGCTCGTGGGCGGAGACCCTTGAAATGGTTGAAGCAATCTAGTAAAGTGAAGGATGACCGATTTACATCTTGACGCAGTCGAGGCCACAGCGATCTGTGCAAACTTGCAGCCGATGCGCCTGCTTCATCGGAACCTAAAATCAGAAGTGGCTTCTTCGCCCTGAATGACTTTGAATTCTCGAGTATGGTCGGGCTACTGAAGGCAACTCAACAGGGCCCTGTAGGCAAGTCATCGTCAAACTTGACCCTTTGCCCAACCACGCCGATCCTCAGTTTCCAGCGGTGCCTCCACCTGGCCGGTGGCCGAGCTGCTCATATCGCAGCTGCGTTGCAACCGTGGAGAACACAATTCATCACGAGGAACCTATGACTAACTTTCGGACTAGCTCGATTCTAAACTGCCGATTTCGATCTGCTACACACTGGGCAACAAATCCAAACCAATGATCAGGGTCGCCGATAGCAATCCAATTTGCAACCTGTGGCCGGATAAGCCTGACAGAGGTCCCAATAATTGTTGCTTTGGAGTTCTCTCCTACCAGTAGCTGCAGAAAAACCAAAGGGATTACTTAGACAAGATGATGCAGTGTTTGCGCAGTAACTCTTGACAAGCTGCACCAGTGCTGCAACCCCTGACCTCGACCTTGAGTGAAGGAACGCTATCCAAGGTAGTGCATGCACGAAGGAAGGCCTCTTCTGAAGACAGGTCGGTGGTGCCCCACTGCGAAAGCAAGCGCCCGACTTGCTCAGAACATGGCGAAGCCTTGTGAAATGCTGCAAGCTGCAAAATCATGCAGGGATCAATGTGCGAATTGCTCTACTCCTAACCGCGGGTCGGGCTAGATTCGGCTACCGGCTACAGAAGCATACTGTACTGCTGCTGGCACCATGCCGTGAGTGTAGCTGCTTGCATGACGTGAGCGTGCCAGTAGGTTGTGTTGAAGCCTGGGAACTGCATCTTCAACCCCGAACTCGACAGCCAGGAAAACACTTGAGACTTGCACAATGCCATGCTACAACGAAGTTGTTGCAGCCGGTCTTAGACGCCGACCGCCAGCCAAAATCCACGATGCTGGTCGCAGTGTAGCCTGTTGGAGGAGCCGATTTGGGACTGGCCCAGCCGCAGGCCAACTACTGTAATGGACTGCGCGTGGTCTGCAAGATAACCGTCACCAACAATCTTAAGCTTGGCAGCTTGGCAGCTTGCATTCTTGCTGTTGCAAAATCTGTATGCTCGCTTGGGATGCCCATTCTTGTTCAGGTCTCGTCTAGTCTCACTTAGCCAAGGTCAAGAGACTGCATCCCTTGGCCAGTCGAAACAGAACGCCCGAGCTTCACTGCCTTCCATCTTGTGCCGTGAAAGACCTCGGTCCGGGCGCTTTAGACTATAGACTATCATTCTCTTTCCACAAGGCTTACTCATTTCTTTCGCCAGGGCTTTGGTGCGGATGCAATTCGGCTTGCGGATTCTCTCTCTCTCTCTCTCTCTGTCTCTGCCGCTGCAATCATCGGCGGAGCGAAATGCGGAGGTCTAGAGCGAAGCTGTTCTCTTGCACACGGCATCCGACAGCGCAGGTTTTTATTTTGCCAGGCGGATCCGAGACAGGCAGCAAGAAGACACGGAGTGCGTTTTTAGGACTCTAGGGCCCATGCAGCCGGAGTCGCGGAAGTTCCAGCAAGCGGAGCTGAGGTGCACCAGGGCCCTGAAGAAATGCTCATTATGTGACACAGTCGTGGTTTGGATTCTACACACTTCTGAAACGACAACACTGTCGACTACTGCTGCAAGATTCTTGTGTTGGAGCGTTATTGCTCAGCGCAACTAGAGAGTAGCAGTTGCGGCCTTCCATGTGAAAGGGTGAAAGCACTGCTCCCGATTTGGCGAGAAGCCCAGCTTCAAAGAACATAACTTACATGAGAAAACTCATCCGGCATGTATGGGACGAATGTGGTTTACGGTGCACCTGGCCGATTCTGATATATTCTGATGAGCCAGAGTGCTTGATGCCAAACAGTACTACCACGACGAGCAGCATCGCTTAACTCAAAGTTCATGTGTTCAAGAGGCTGCATGGCACCCTATTCACGTCAATGCATGCACTACACACTATTTGGCGCGCGCTGTTTCACGAGCTGTGTCACTGGGGAATGTGATCTGCCCTCAGCATTGGCGACGACTTCCGAATCGCCCTGGCAAGATTCAGTCGCCGACGCTTGCCCAGGCCAGAATGTGGGAAAGGTTTTCCAACCTGGCATCTGGCGAACAAAACTGAAAGGTACCGAAGAAGCTCACGATGATTTACAGGGGAAGTGGTTAAGTTTGCTCGTGGGCAACTGTGGCGGATGCTGATCTGGACCTACATGTTGCAGTCGCAGAATGCAGAAAGGTCTGGCTGTGGACTACCTTCCGTCTGAAGCACGCTTCGTGGCCGCAGGCCTCGACAATATGTTGGTCAATGCTGCAGGCCCCTTTCCTTTGTTCGAGCAGTGCTTGAAGGATCTTAAAGGTTTCTGAAGTTTCTACAACACACTCATGCACAAAGCCGGGCAAGAAGACATGTCAGGCATCTGAGCAAGCGACGCAAGTTCACCAACTGCAGCCTCATCACTCGTGGGTACGTTTGCTTCATGCTTGGAGCTTGCATTTGGGATTCTAAAATCGCAAGGCCATATCCGTGTAAAGATGAACGACAATGACAAGCAGTACTCTTGTGCCTGCAAACGTTGCCACTTCAGAGTTGCGCTGCACCGTCTTCAAAGGATCGCGATGCTTCATCGGCGACGATCTGACTATCTGCAGCGTAGACTGCACTACAAACACATGAAGTCGGCTCGGGAGAGAGAGAGACGCACACTGGACATGCCTGGCTTGTCAGGAAACCGGATCATGCTCGAGGTATCGGATGGCAACTTGCGTAGGTCTAAAGTTCAGGAGTTTCACGTCATCAGCTGCAGTCCGCTGCATCACTCTAAGCTCCAGGCCGCTGCGAAGTGTCCTCTAGCGTGATCGTATCGACAAGGCTCAGACTTGGAGTTTAAGACATCGGGCGTCGTCGCTAATTACACAAAGTGCTGAATGCACTGGACTACTGAAAGCTCGGGTTGGCAACGTTTAGGAAAAGCGTGCTGGCAAAAAGAAGCTCAGAAGGGATCTGCCGCCAAAAAACCATGGCAATCCTCCACTCATCTGTTAAATCTCTAACACGATCCAAGAAGCACCGCGCCAGAATCACTGGACACGTGGGCATGCCGTCGAGAGCAAAGGTAATGTCTTGAAACTCACGCTGCAACCGGCTTGCGCCGATGCCATGCATCACGAAAACAGTCTTCGACAGCATCAACGGCCGTCCGTATCGGTCTGTATGATTCGATGACATGTCAGCGACGTACGTGTATGTTTTTCTTCTGCAGGCTGCGAGGACTCCCTTGCCTGCAGAAGCAAAGCTGCACCCTTCGAGAGACCCAAGGTCCCTTTGCATGCGGGAAAGTTTGCCAAACTGCCTGAAGACTCTGGACGGACCTGTCCTTAGGATACCCATTGAAAAGGGTTTATTAAACGGTTAAACATCAAAGCGATTACACACGCAACCACTGAAAATAGCCAAGCCCCTCCATAAACAGCTGTCCATCTCCGCGAGTTGCCTACGTCTAAGTTCGAAACCTTCTCAACAACCCAAACTCTGAGCGAGTCTCAAGCATCGACTGCTATTCCGAACCGAAAACGCTCCGAACACTATTGTCCGAACTCATGGCTTATCGTGGAAACGCTGCGTCGACAGGGGCCCGATCTGTTTTGAATGTCCTCTGCGTCTCAGGTTCAGCTTGTACCGCCTCAAATCTGTCAGCTGTCAGCTGCCGGCAGTACCGGTCCGCAGACAGGCGCTGAAGTCTGGGCCTCAACAGCCGCTTCAAGCTAGAAACCTCGGCCATCGCTAATGCTAAGCCGGGATCAGACAGCCGTCAAAGTAACCCTTGCTGCATCTCAGAACTCCAGGAATTCATTGCAGCAGAGGCAAGCAAGTGGAGCGAAAACCTGGGCTCCTGAATGGCAAAGCGGATGTGGGATGACACAGGATCACGGCAAAACCCATTAGTCACTAGAGTCACTAGCTGGTTAAGACCGCGGGAGTGGTCTCGGATTCGGCATAAGGCTGCGGACTGTCACGGAATGTTTGACCAGGGGTCACAGGGTATGCAAACCAGCCTGCGCACGACAGTTTGTTGACGGGATGGACGTGGGAGAAAAGGTTTGCAGGGACCGAGATCAAACCGCGGAGTTACGGGGTACAGTGCAGTGCCTACGCAGTGCCGTAAGGTTTTCGGATTGCATGCGCGCACTGCGCCATAGTCATGCCGGAAGCTGTGTTGAATCATGCATTCTTGATATCAACAACTAGAAACGAGCATAGATTCAGAAACAAGGCAGCGGTTTGTAAAAAAAAGAGAGCAAGCACAAGACGGGATTGCCAGGGATCCAAAGTCTGACACACGACTCACAAACACACACACACACACACACACACATATATATATATATATATACACACCCTGTCTCGTGCTCTCAACCAACCTCCACCAAGGGCCACCGGAACAACAAAATATGTTCAATTCGAGCCCGAGCTCAAATACTCGGCCAAGTACTTGGCTTCGGCCACGCCATTCCCAGAAGGCTTGTTCCTGATAACAGACATCACAACCGCGGCGCTTGAGTTCATGGCTGTGACTGAGCAACAGCTGAAACTATGGAGGACAAGGTCGTGAGCCTGGCAACCTGAAGAAGGGGAGACCCATGCCCCACTTGCATTGCGCCACAAAACAAAATCGTTTACGGCTGCAGTACTTGACGACTGTTCGACCGCATCTACACTCGCGCCGGGGAGCAGAACGTCGTGTTCAAACTTGGTCGAGCCGGCACCGCTAGTGACGTTCATCAGCGCCAGTTGGGGCAAGCCTGTAACAAACTTGGGCTGACAGCAGATCGCTCGCGAGTCAGAAATCGGCGGATGCTAAGACTCCAGCTGTGTAGAGCTTGAAGATTCTTGAAAACTTTACGAGTGGCAGGCGAGCAGCTGGAGAAAGGTAGCAGCGTGCCCTGTTTGGAGCAGCCGCGAGGACAGCAAACCAGCTTAAGAAACTGCCTCGGCTGTGGCGGGTGGCTTACAAACTGCTTCCATACACATATGTCATGACTGCCAGACAAGACGGTACAAGGCGGATAAATCTCCAGTAGCATTCCGGCACAGAGCGGGTAATTGCTTGTGGCTTTGTGTTTTTGCCAGGGCAGTTGTTACTGTATTGATCAGCGAGCCAGGATTCGCAGCTACGGCTAAGCTGCTGCATCTGCAGAGTGTGGCAGCTGACAGCTTCAGCAGGAGTTAGGCATCGAACTGGAGACGCCAACTGGGTTCCTTACAGTGCCTGCTTGCCACGAGTTAGATTCTAATTACATAAATTTGTTAATCAAAGGTGCCCACCGTTGAACAGCGCCGCGACAGATTCAAAGTACTCAGCGAGATTACGCCAGCCGGAATCCTCCACAGATGCTTGAAAACAAAAGTGAGCCCAATCTCAAACACAAGCGACTGGAATCTAGAATCTTGGTCGGAAGACCCTATTCATGCATCGTACATGTGCGAACTGACGGGTCTATCCGTGTCTCACAATCAGTAGGTACTGTAGCGGTCTTCAAAACCACTTTTGGCCCTCGCCTCCCATGTCGGCATGTACAGGCCGCTCAGCACCGCAGGTCGCTCGACCGGCCCGGATCCACGCAGGGCCGGGAGCAGGGAGTAGCCGCCCATGGCCTCCAGGAGTGGACTTCGGTTGATGATAGGAGATCAACGTCTATCAGCACATGCTTGGACAAGGAAACCCTCCAGTGGCCGGTTAGAGGACTAGACATCGCTCCTTGAACATGCGGAATTTGCAGCCCGCACACCCTTCGAAATGCAAAGGCACCTGTGCTGGCGTTGCGCCGGCAATATCCAGCAGCGTACGTGGCACATCGATCAGGGAAACAGGGGTCTCCTAGAGCAGCGACTGTGCGAGATTCGCTGGGTTTGTGCTAAGGGTATGCCGAGGAAGGCCCAATGCTGGGTTTGTTAGAGATGTACTGTAACATCCGATACGTTCAGCCGCCGCCTGGGAGGACAGTGCTCAATTGTCACAATTGTCACCACAGCAGGTGAGACTATCCCGGGCAAAGTGTCTGGAATCTAGAAGAGAAGAATGGAAGATCGCCTTTAACCGATGAGGCGTGCGCTTAAAGTTGTGAGTGGAGGATCCGCAGAGCCATGCAGAGCCTGCTAAGTGCAGAAAGGACACGGCCAGGCATGGCCAAACAGCTGCAGCTGCATAACTTGGAACATTACGCAACATAGTTACTGACAGAAGCCGCCGGTGCCACGCCATCGAGGCATGAGGGAGATGACTTGATTGCGACTGCGACCGGTTCCAATGGCGCTTCTGCTTGCGACGAGTACCCTTACAACAGAGGCAAGTTGGCATGCAGAATATGAGCTCGTGCTCCACACATTGCAGCATGTCTCGCATGGAATGTCTCCCTCGAGCCCCCTCTTTGCCCCTGCTCTTGCTCCTGAAGCCCCCTCATCCAGATTCGGTTTTAAGATGTGTGTTTTGGTTTAGATGGTACTTTACGAAGGGGGGAAGAGATCAAACAGAAGCATGTGAAATCAGTTTGAACAAAAACGTTCTCATTAGCAGCCCTATTGTCGTGTTCAGGATTTTGGCATCGTAGCATGGGATCGTCGGACAGAGAGCAACAAAGATCGACAGTTGGCAACGTAAGCAGGTACACAATGGATAGCTGTGGCTTGATTGCTGTCCACAGCTTGGGTTGTAAGTACAGTACATGAGCGTACCAGCTGAACCACAAGCGAAACTGGAGTTCACGGTAATGCCCGTGGACACGGGAGAAGTGACATCTGTTACGGATCAGGAGAAACGAAAAACGGTTGAAGCTTCATAGGATATGCCGTAAGGCATCCGACTCTACCGCTTCATGAAACCCGAAGCACAACACATTCATGTGGTCTCTGCGGTAGTGTCGCGACGTGTCGCGATGCAAACTCAAGAGTTCATGGAGTCATGTCACTCTCCGGAATTAAGGTGGTGCTGCTTGGGCAGCCTTGCGGTCACTTCCAGATTCAACTCCCCGCCTCGATGGCATCTTTCCGGATAGAAGGCCCGGCCAGGATCAAAGGGATCTTCACAGAGGGCTCCCAGGGACTGGACTTGGCCCACCTTCGGCGAAGGAAGCACAGTGTCACAGTGGCTCTGCAAGGCTCTTCCCACTCCCCCCGGCCCCCTTTTTGGGCTTGTAGCGGCAACAATGCCCTTGCAATTTCGGTAGCTTCAACCTCCGAGTGTCCGAGCTAGCCGTCAAACACAAGCCTGCTTCTACTCTCCAGCCGTCGAGTCGGTGTAAAGATTCACATCATCAACCGTCGAAGCACAAGAGGTAATCGATAGAACAACTTTAGCTTTGCAGCTCCAATCTGGCATTAAGACCAAGAAACTCACCGTGGTCTCCAAGGTGTTCGCCGTGGTCGCTGGTCACGGCGATCACTGTATTCCTGTCTATCTTGCTGCTCCGCGATGTCAGGGCGACTTACATCGATGCTGTGTTCAAGCTGGGACCCCATGGTCGAGTTGCACTCCGAACAGATTCGACGGTCGGAACGAGATGAGTGACTTGATCTCACGGCTACTTTCAGTGCTTCCGTGCAGGCGAGGCTCTCTCGGGCGTGATGTTTCTCCAAAAAGTGCAGCAGCTGGTGGATCCTGCCACAAGCATACAAGGACCTACCAACGACGTACACACAAGCTGCGCTGATGGCGGTTCGGGATACGGCTCCCAGCGAGCTGCACGACAGCTTGGTTGGAATGTCATTGCGATGCGGCCAGAATGCTGTGCTGAGTGAAAGGGAAAACGGTTGCTAGTGGCTGAAATTATGAGAGCAGAGCGGTAAGGCAGCGGATTGCGGCATCTACCGGTGCAGCGCATGGCTGCCAACGCAGCCCCTTTGACGAGCTACGTTGCTGTTCTGACTTTCAGTGTTCATCATCCAGCGGAGGCACCGCAATGCAATGGGATGCGGTGTGCCTGCATGTGTGTGCAGGGATGTACATATATACATATATACATATATATATATATGTATATATGTATATCTGTATATATGTATATATGTATGTAGGTGTATATACATGATTAATTAGCACTCGCGCTCGACGAGGTCAGGCGAGATTTCAGGTGGCAGGACAAACTTTCCAGGCTCTATGCAGGTGTATACATACATGTGTATATATATATATATATATATCTCTGCATGTGTGTGTGCACAACTGTATTTAAATATATATATATATATATACATATCTATTCACTTGTTTATTGACATGTATATATATAACATATATATATATATATATTTATACACATGATGTGTGTGTGTGTGTGTTGCCGTTCCTGACTAATATCTAACTGGGTACTAACTAATTAATCATGAGTTAGCTTATATAGACTTTGTTTTTCAGGTGATAAAAACTGAATGCCAACATAAATTACATTGTATAGCCTTGCAAAGATACCCCGGCGAAACTGCGAAAATGTGTGCGCAGCAGATCCCGGCAGCTGACCGTCACGAATAATGCGTGCAATCCCCGGACTCTGCAGGATGGCAAGATGGCAGGAGCGACGCGAGAACCGCTGACAAAGCAACACAACACTAGCAAGAAAGAAGGCACCATGACAACAGGTTTGCAGCTGCTGATGACGACATTGGTCTTTGTCCTTTAACACGGGAGGGACAACAATCGCTCCACGAGAGCATGAACAAGCAGACAGCGCAACTGAAACGAGAGATCGCAACCGATCAAGTGGTCTACAGAGACAGAGAACAGGACCCCAAGCTTGTGGAGCCAACATGAACCAACCACATCATGCATCTTGCGACTCGTCCAGCATGCTTGAGGCATCATGACACTGCCCCAACCCTCAGCCAGAGACCACGGAAAAAAAAACCGCCAACTGCGGTAACTGCGGAGGAGCGGCTCTCGGTCAAGCATCCCCAGGAGTCTCGCGTAGCTCTCCCGGCTCTGGCCTCGGTCACGGGATCCCGAAAAACCCCGCTGTTGGCCCGGACCACAAAACCAAATATACATATATATATATATATACATATATATTCTGGGTTTCAGCCAAAATGGGGGGCCGTTCCCTACACCGGGAAACACAGTGGGTACAAGTCCAGGCTCCTCAAGGTTTTTCATCTTAATCTCAGGCCAGCCGCGAACGTCCACCGAGCTTCGGTAAGGGTTTGGGAACTGTATCATCCGTCCTTGGCAAACTCAGACTCTCGGTGACTGCATACGCTCACCTTTTCCAAAACCGGCCCGACAGTCACGAGATTGCCCCTACACGACCCCCACTGCAAGAACCCCACGAGACTCAACACTTTCGAACCTACAGCGTCAACAGTGCTGGAATGGCCCTTCCAGCTATGCTCAGAGGAGTAGCCTTCTGTGCTCTGCGCCCAGATGTAATCGAACTGTGCGTCTACAGCATCTGGCAGCGGCCCCACCTCCTTGACGAGACTGGACTAGGTGAGGAATTCACGTGGTCCGATCGGACATGTCGGCGAGCTGTACAGCGTTGAGAGAGGTCTTAGGCTGAGGCGTAGGCTTAGAGACTGCAAGATGCAAGTTTGGCCAGGTCACGTCGTGGAGGCTGGTCGCAAATGGCGGGTGAGGACTGGGAAACCCCAGCTGCAGGAACCACGGCTTGTCTCCTTGCGCCAGGTTTTCTCCACGCTCGCTTCTCGCTTCTTTGAGTAGTGGCTTGGGTTTTTCTGTGCTGTGCATTTTCCCAACCTGATCAGTGGCCTCGAAGCACACCATACGCAGGTCGCACGTATCAAGGTGCGGTGCCCTACCTACCATCCAGCCCCAGATTGGTCGACCCGTCCATGTCGCTTCCAGTGCCGTTGCAAAAGCACCTGGTCAAAGCAAAGGCTCCGATCTGCCAGTTCGGCTAAAGGCAGGCGTGAAGAAAAGCTCTAACCTTGTCCGAGCTTGCAAGGTACTGCATCTCCGGCTCTCAGAGGCAGAGTTTACGACGGACAACCCGTGAGGCCTCAACTCTGAATCCTCTTGAAGCGCCCAACTTACGGGTCCAAATTACAAAGTAGACTCACTGCTTCATGGGGGGGTCACTTGATGAAGTTCATGTTTCGGAGCTGGCTTCGATTCAATGGGCCGGCATTACACAACGTCCAGGCACCTCCGCCTGTAAACGGCTCCAATGATCAACGCCCACATCCGGCTCTATGCAGCCTTCCGGCTTGCACCTGCGGTTGGTTGCTGTTTGGCTTGGATTGCAAAGCTGTAAGTGGTTGGTCTACGACCTCTGATCCGAGTGAGCTTCCCTCCACCGAGGCGCGGCTGTTCGTTGCAATTGTTGGGGCCACTGATATCTGTGCTCTTTATTCCTCGGAATGGTTCGAACGGTACTGTCGCTGATGGGCGAGCATGGCTGTTTCCTGGTTCCGTAATTTGTTGCCATTACTGGTCGTCTGTACATGTGGCATCATCAGGCATCGTTACGTCCGTTCGAACGACGATGGGGCAGAGGCGGAATTGGCTTTTCCTCCCAAGTCATCGAGGTCAAAAGCCGCAAGCCTCCTAGTTCGAGCCAGCAGTTGTGTTAGCTGGGGAGGACCTGGTGTCTGATCTACACATCGCGAAGAAGCGGCACAGTGATGCATGTCGGCCATTGCAACCACAGCTGTAGCCTTCCGAGACAGAAAACGACACTTCCACCTTGGGTGCAGCGCTGCTTGGGCAGCAATTTTCAGGTTAGCATCAAGAGCGACGAAAGTAGCCTGAAGCCACACTCGTCGAAGAAGATGGTCTCGCACACTGGGGTCGAGTTGCAGCAGCCACCCTTACCTTGGGCTAAGCAGAAAAAGCCACGGTCGGAAATGTCTTTCGGGCGGGGCTGCGGTTGAGGATTCGTTGGGGGTGTCTTCTGGGCCTGAAATTCACAGATTAAGAAGATTTCGTCTGTGCAGCTGATTGAAGGCAGAACGCATCGCATAAGCACAGCTGGCTTTGACCACTGCGAAGCTGAAGCTTGCAAGGCAGGATGCCCATGGTCCCCACGGCGTCGCAGTAGGCATGGAAGAGAGCATTCTCTTTCAGGTGAAGGCCGAAGTGATCCATCTCGCAGCGAGTAACCCAAAGACTTACAAAGATCTCTTTGCTGCTCCTGGTGCCTCTAAGGGAAGGGAAGAGCCTGCCTGGTGATTTCGGAGCCTCTGGCTCTCTTCTCTCGGTCGGAGAGATGCGAATAGATGCTACAGATACAGTACTCGTTACTTGCCTTTCTAGCACCAGTAACTACTTCTGCGCACACGGAAGTGCAGAGTTGATGCACGTGCTTGTGTGTATAGTCATATGAAGGATGCAGGGCGCTCCGCCAACGAAAAACATGAGGTGCTTGATCATTGGAGTTGCAGCAAGCAGATCTAGGGGAGGGTGGCGGGAGACTTGCCGGATCTTTTGCTGCGCCAAGTCACGACTCCACCTTTGGAGGCATTCTTGCAGATTCCATACTTGTCAGATGATCGCGCGAAGAGGTCCACACCCAAGACCTGCAGCAATGTTGACGTAAGGTCTCGTGAAATGTAGCTGCACGCCAGGAAATGGCGTAGGTCAGGAAACATTCCGGGTCCTTCATGCAGTCGTCTCTTTGAGTAGTGAGTAGTGGTAAGAACGAATGCGCGCAAACAAAGACATGTCTGAGCCTGGATTCCGGACAGTAGATGTCATGGAAACAACTATAGTAAGTGGAGACTCAGGGCGTTGCAGCAAGTCAGGATTTAGAGAGCTTCCATCGCAAAGATTGGGTGCACAGCAAACATGATAAACATGTGCTGTGCCAGCAAAGCTCTGAACCCCGGAATCCGTTCGCAGCAGTGGAGGCCTCCATCTCCGTAGCATTGATCAAGTTGCCACTGTCCCCGGACAGATGGTCCTTCCACAGCTCTTTTCGTCGCTGGGGGTATCTTCTGGGCCACATCCGACCGTTGCGACAGAGAGATTCACCAGATCCGATTTCAATGCACTCTGAATGCACTCGGGCAAGGCACTTTTAGCTGTGTGGCTTCATGGCGAACTGCGAACGCAGCTCCACAGCACAAAGACATCAGCAACGGAACGAATCCCCACAACTGTAGCCTTTTCGTGATCCTCACACTGCGCTGCCAGGCTGTCGTCCCTCGTAATGCACCGAGCACAGCCCAAACAAGCAAATATGTAAAGAGATGACACGGAGACTGCACAGGTAGAGTCAGACTCGCCCCACAGAGTCGAAAGTTATCATACTGGAACCACGTGCACGCACCCTCTCATCGTCACACCGACATTTATTTAACCGTCGTCCAGAATCCAGATGAAACCCGTCACCGTCACCTGCACCTGAAGCCCGAAGGGGCCAAGGTATTGATGCAAGACGAGCTCAGGCTACTCAAAACCGAAAGCTCTCCTTGCCAGCAAAGATGGTCGTGTAGCCCGCGTCCCGCAGTCTAGACATAAAGGTAGGAGACATCCTGGGCAGATCGGCTTCTGCAGGCTATGACGGCCTTCCAAGGCCGGGTGGGGTGTCTCCGTAGAAGCTAAGCCTTCAAGCGAAATCCTGGAAGCACTCCATTCGGGATATCAGGCCGGACTGAAACTGTACAAGGAACTGCGGCGAGGCATAGATGTCCTGGTTCTTCTGCACCCACATGTCCTTCGTGAATCTCGGGATCTATGCTACTGCAGGTCGAGGGGAAGCCGGCTAAAAGTCCATTGCTGCCCCCTTCGCCCACGCTCCAGAACATGTGACGCTAGCAAGTCATGGCAATGATGGGTCTCGGCAATGCAGAAGGTGCCTGCGCAGAACATCCACTCAAGGAGTCCTTGTATTCCCTGACTGCGGTGAGGGAGCTCCGAGCGGGAACACACAAAGGTGAGGTCGTGTATGCCCGCGTGAAGCCTGGCGGCTCACTGGGTTCAGCGACTTCGCTTGGCAATATTTAAGTACCAGAAAACAAGTGCCCACTGACGTGCTCATGGTCATGAACACGACACCGGAGTTGCATTCCTGCCCCATACAACTCCAGATCCGTTTTCGGCATGGCGCGAGTGCCCACCGAAGCCAGAGACTTCACCGTAGGCATCGAAACTAACGCATCATCGAACCTGCAGTGGGTCTGGCCGGTGGGCGATGATCATGAAGCTTCAAGGCAAGGCTTTCGGGTTCGGATTCGTCGATTTCTGAACGAGCCACTATTGCTTCATACTTCGTGGTTCCTTGTCTGGGAGGCATGGGGGCTTCTGCATCTCTATGCGACAATAAGACTCAGCATGGGCGGCAGAGCATCACATAAACAAACAAGGTCAAACTCCTCTGGAAGTCGATAAAAACTAAAGCAACAGCAACCATCGTCGTTTGCTTTCGCCGTCTTTCATTTATAACGAACAACGAACACAAAAAACAACCCCGGTGCCGCTCGTGCTGTGCATTTCATAGGCTAAAGTGTCATGGTCAGGAAGAATTATGTTGGTACTTTCTCAGTGTTTTGCTCAGGCGGGCCTGGAACCTCTAGCTTTCCTCTGTTTTGCAAGCTCAAACGCAAATTTTTTTCTGGAACTTTAATATGCAAGGTAACGATGCCGTCGCAGGTCATCTGTGCCGAGAAGCCAAGAAGTCCACAAGCCCAGACGCTAGAATGTGAAGAGCCCAGGAAATCGAGAAGCCAAGAAGTTAGAGAGCTAAGAAGGAAATCTCAGAAGCCACGCGGCCAGAAAACCAGAAAGGAACACCCAGAAGCCAAGAAACGGAAGCAACAACAATACCCAAATAAAACATGCGAAGAACTGCTGCACGCACAAACTCAATCCCTTGAAGTGTTCCGCTTCTTTTCGTTGTATCTACTTGGGCTGTTATCTTGAACCGGGACCGGGACCCAAACCATCCGGCCCCCAAAGCCAAAGCACCCTGCCCAGTCGGCACGCCACTGGTCCAGAAGGATCAGCAGCAGATTGGGCCTGAGGCAAACTAATCCGTGAGGTTGAGTGATGGAATCACGTGCCTTGCGGGACTGCCAACCTATCCTCCGAACTCTGCAGGCAAGGTCTGCTGCAGCTTGCACTGCAAGCTCGACGGGCATCACGAATTCAGACAGTCTCCGATCCTCTGTCGCAAATCTTGCTTCAACATTTGGACTCGATCTGCCAATGCGAAGTCGGGGAGGCATTCACAAAGCTGGACATTCGATGCCTGCGATCCGACGACGCATTTCGCGGATGCTGCGGCCGCCGCGTCAATTGCAGGTTCTGCTGGAGCAGGATCACACGAGAATCTTCTATCTCCTTCACAGACGCGGCTGCTACTGTACGTCGCTGTGGGGAGGGATAGTGCGCATTTGCAATATTCAAAATTCTCATTGGTGGCAGAACGACCGGCAACCTCATGCATTGGAGCAAGCACGGAATATTTAGAGCCCCACTACAATGTCTCCCAGCGTGGTCGTACTGACTTGCGTGCCGAGGCTTTCCTCCCATCTTGATGTTCTCTACATACCAAAGAACCAGGAATACCAAGAGCAGACTAGAAACCAGAAACTAGAACGCAAACAAACACGGCATGACAACCGCAAAAATAATAGCACGCGGCCACTACTGCCAGAAGAGCGGGCCCCAGAATGCAACTCGAGTAGTAATAGTCACAGTACAGACAGTCGCATCGTCTCCTCTGACACAGAGTCGACGTCTGGCTCGGCACAGTCGCTCCTTAGCGCTTCGCACCGTGCACAACTTATGCAGTTCCCCCTTGCTCTTACATGCAGTCACCACGAATTCACCGGCATTGAATTGGTCGTGCAGGTCCTGCAAAGCGCATAAACGCGTCACAGGAGGGAGATTCAAGGTTCCGTCTGACGTCAAAGAGCATCCCCTGCTAGAGACTGTATCCTTCCTCTGCTGGCAAGGCTCGGCGGGGCCTCCACCAGTGCACCGATGGCAAAGGCCAGCAAAACTTAGCGAGACCACAGCTGGGAAAACACTGGACCACTGGATTCCCATAGTTAGAAGACGTCATGTTCCGAACAAGTTGGGCTGTACGAATGGCCACATCATGCATGTGAAGCTGGTATTAAAGCATCTGTCGCCAGTGAAACTCCAGATTTTGTGCGAGCGTCGAAGATCGACAAAGAACAAGCGGAGGCAGCGCATGACCGTGTGGACGTGGAGTCGTTTATGGATCGTTTATGGTCTGGGGTTTGTGGGGTTTGTGGGGTTTGCTGGCTGAAGTGCACACGGCGAACCGCCTTGTTGCTGACTTGTCGGTGCTGCTTGTGCTGTTTCAGATCTCTTTGTCGCGGCATCAACATATGCATTTGTTGGATTAAACTTCCAGTTGGACCGAATTACATGGTCGCTTCGACCCAGGAAAGCTCAGCTGAACCGACCCTACAACCCGAAGTTTCTTTGGTGATTGCCTCTGAAGGCAAGTCTGAGCCAAATTGGCTAGGGCTTGAGCGCAACAGTGGACACACATTCATCCTTAGTTGAACCGTTGGCTCGTTGACTTGTTCGAGTGGCTCAGAAAGAAATGAGACAGCAGCTGGGCCATGCAATCTACTGAGTCCCCTGACGGCCCCTGTTTCTTCATGGGGCTCGGGCTGAAAATATCTTTCCCTAGAATATCTTGTCCTCTATCTGTCTATATCTTGCGGGAGGTAGATGCTGAATACGGGCGCCCAGCTTTGCAAAAACCTCTGCTTCCCGTATTCTCCTCCAAGTCCCCACTTGCGGCCGACCGCCTGCATTGGGACCAATGTCTCGACTCATGCTATGCTATACGTGAGGCCGACAGCCCCGGCAGTCAACGAAAAACCAACTGCAATTAATGTTCTCTTCTTGCAGACTTGCGCCGAAAGATAAATGCGATCTGGCTTCCAAGTTTCGACGTAAGAACAACGAGTAACGAGATATTACACAAATGGGGAGCTCATATGTATTCATATGCACATAATTACTTACGAACAGACAAACTGACACAGGAAGGGGGCAGTTCGCTTTGCCGTGTGGCCGGTGGGGGCCGTGCACCACAACGCCACAGTCAGACATCCCAAACAGGGCATGCAGCTGAAAAGCCGAAAGTTCTGGTGCATCATAAATCCGTCCCGAATGTCATCAGACTTCGCACGCCAGAATGGCCGCACGACAGAGGGCAAAAAGGTGAATCCCAGTGCCAAGCTCGGGCCAGCGCTCGACGCGCGCCGTCACACCCTCGCCCGACCGATACAGGAAGATGTGGAGGCCTGGCTTCAAAGACCGATGAAAGCAGCTCGGCAGCTTGGGAGGGCTTCTGCACAGGTGGTGGAGACGTAAATGCTAGCCATGAAGGCCTGCTTGGGAACATCCTCGGGGAATTTCTTAAGTCTTAAGGCACATGTTCAGGCCATGCTCGTGGCTCCAACGCGGGGGGTCTGTTCAGACAGGATCTGCTTTGCAGTCTGCCTGGGCTCTATCTACGTAAGGCTCCTGGTTGGCCTCGTACTGTCCGCAACAAGATTCACACCTAGTGCCCCACCGAACTCCCAAAGCGAGCACAAGTAAACAAAGGTTTTGGCCTGACGTTGCCATGCAGATGCTTCGTCCAAGTCAGCCCAGCCACAAATTCAACCCAAGAGTGCTGGTCGCTTTATACATAACATACGCGGACGGACAGATACAGAGACAGAGAGGAGCGAGAGCGAGAGGGAGCAAGAGGAGAGGCAGAGAGCGGGATAGACGGCGACAGAGGGGGAGAGAGAGAGAGAGAGCGAGATAGAGACAGACAACAGACAGCCAGCCAGCCAGGCAGGCGGGTGAGCGACAAGATTATGCGAGCAGGAGATTTCGTACCTTCGCAGATATGTATGTGCATTCACATTAATATGCCTACGCAGACCTTGGCCGAGTGAACGGTGACTTTATGGACGGGGGCGGGCGGACAAGACACATGTCAGCTTGCCAACGTAGCACTGAACATCCCTGAGAATCACACGTGAGGATTGCTCTCGCACCTGGGTCTGGCTGGAAAGGAGCTTTGGGAAGTCGGGTGGGATGGCTCAGGATGCAAGGCCGACGGCAAGCCCCAGGCAACACGAAGCACCTCCTCAAGAACCGCTCAGGTACCAGAGATCCGAGCCATGCCAAGCTGAGGCTCGCTGCGCGTAGCTCCTCCCCAACAAAAGCGCCTTGGGCACCTCCCATCATTATGTAGCGCGAATCAGGGCTCTGCCACTGCGCCATAGGGCGATCTACTTGCATTGATGTCTTGCAGGGCTGTCCGACAAGATATCCAAGCTGAGACTTGCCGAAGCCTTGCAATGCCCTCGCAACCAGTGCAGCAGCCTGATTTTTTGGCTGCGGCCCGGCAGCGCCAAAATCGGTATCTGCCTAACCTCAAACTTATAAAGCTGTTGAAAGCAGTTGACAACAGTACATGGTGCGCTTCCGGTCTAGTGACTTTCCCTTTCAACTTTCTCTCTGTGTATCGCTTTCTCCCTGTGTATCGCTGCCTTCGCACTTGACATGGTGCCGCCTCAGTGCGCTGAAATCCAAAGACTTCTCGAATGAGAGCCGGGCAGTGCATCGGGCAGAAGGCCATGGAGGGCCCGGCGAGGCCTCCAAGCCAGCAAGGTTAAGGTGGCTTCAGGGATCAGGGGTACTTCTGCGCCCTCAACATGTAATCATTGTATATATATCATATCTTCTTGTTTTCATATGGTCATGTTTTCCCAAAAATAATTACACTGAAAACGGCTTGGTCCACGCTCCACACCTCGCTCCGGGCAGCCGGGGTGCCGTGGGCCGGTCGTGATCCCCGTCGCAAGACATCGAAGCTTCAATGGACCACTCTGCCCTAGTGATGCTTTCAGAGGAGCATTGTCATTTGAGGCGATTCTTCGCCTTTAAGGACACGGAGAGGTGCAGGGATCTCGTACGGCAAATCTAGCTGTTCGGAGCAACCTTCCCATTATGTTGAAGGCATGGCAGTCGGGCCGTGACTCAAGACCGTAGCCCTGAAAAGCAGAGAACTGAACATGCCCCGTCCACGCCAGAAACACCCTGTTATGTCGTAGAGGCAATCTTGACGGCATCTGTTTCAAACACTTCCGAGGTGGGGGCAGGTGCGTCTGGCGAAACTTGCTGGGATGCTCTCGCCTCAGTGCGGCTCAACGTTTGCAGGGCTGGGGAGTGGGGCACAATCTTGAATGTACCGACTAGCCCTGCAAGTCGACGCTGAGACCGCGGCAGCACAACTACACTGGGCCTGGCCTGTGTGGCCACCTGAACCGCTGAACGGCGAGGCGAGTGAGCAAGAACAAACCCTGCTTCGTGCAGATTGATTGATGTGCAAGTAATTTACCACAAGACGAAGCCCGAGGCAGCGGCAGGGACTTCCCCAGCTGCGATACTCCAGCCCGATGCACCTGACTCCACAGTGCTTCCTCCGTGCGGCCACGAGGCCAGTCTACAGGGTTTCACTGTTTCACAACCTGCAGAGTGCGGTCTGCGGGTCTGACGGTCGCTTCTGGACTGCTTCCGAACGTGCAAGCAAGCTCTACATCGTCAGGAAGTCTTGAACCATTGCGGTCCGTTCGGGAAGCTCGTGTTTTTCTCTTGTGATTGCTCGCTTCCTTCCTGAGTCTCTCCTTCTAACCTTCTTCCGTCAAGGCAGCCCCCTCTGCGCAGCACTTCTCTTTCTCTCAGCGTGCGTCGGAAGGGATCGCAGGATCAGATCTGGTACTGGCTTTGTCTGGGTCCATCGCCATGACCATTCTGAAGCAACAGTTGCCCTGACCCCGGCCTCAATGCAAAAGCGAAAGGCCGTGTCAGTCTGTTGAAAGGAAACGACATCGTCTGATTTGCTTACTAGTAGCTCGTGGAACCTACCTCGTGCAGTCCGAGGCCAGCGGCACATGGAAGGACCATCCAGTGTCCGAGGTGAATGTCAGCGATCCTCGGGTCGGGTTCAGGACAGCTGCAGGCTCACAGCATGAAAGCCTTAGCAACTCGCATCCATGGACATTTTGATTTCGCTCGAAGCTGTGATTCACTTGCAGCCACAAGCGATTATAAGCCCTTCGAAAGCAACTCTAAAGCTGCCGGCTGTAGTAGTGACGACCGTGCTCCAAAATCTTGTAGACCTGGTACGGAACCCGATGGAGCATACAACTCAAAAAGTGCCGCCGTAACGCAAGGAATTGTAGAAGCAAGTCTCGAATGCAAAGGCAAGATGCTCGGCAGTGTGTTTCTCTAGTCCAGGCTGCTCGAAGCTTTAGTTAACCGCACAGACGCTGACCTGACCGGACTGGCACTGGTTTCTGTGAACACTTCACTTCTGGTAGGCCTCGACGAGAGGCGGAGCTTTCTGCACCCGAAGCTCCAGGAGCGGCATCCTGTTCGGTCGAATTACTTTGGCTTAACAGGGATGACCCCGATAGCAATAACCCGACTGGAGGACTTTGTTTGTGTCGCTTCGTCACTCGGAACCGACGCAACACGCGATCAGAGCTGAGACAAGTGTCTCGCAACCCCGTCTCCGCAGCTCCATCGAGTTCGAATGCGAAGCCAAAACACAACGCCACGACAACGTTCGACTGGTGTGCAGTGGTCTGTCAGTGTAGAACTGTTTGGCTGGCCTTTCTGGCCTTTCTTGTGCCGCCGCGGCTGCTGCGAGCCACACCTCATTCATCTCGTCTGGGACCTCGGCGACTCTAACACGGTTGAGGATGATGTTGGGCCCCCATGCAGTGTGGCGGGAATTTAGAGTATTTATTTGAGCAAGTTTGCCAATGCAATCTTGTAATCTTGCAATCTTGCCCCACTAGGGGGGGGGCAAGATTGCCAGCGAGCTTGGTCAATCTTGGTCTTTTCAGCACTGGCTTTGGTTGTATGCCGGCAAGGTGGACACTCAGGGTCTTCATGAAGAAAGGTAGACTAGTCGACAGGCAAGCTGTGCAAGTGGGGCAAGATGACCAAGATTGACAGTTGTTCTAAATTCCCGGCACAATGCACTGTTGCCCAAAACGGGCTGCAACAGTCATTGTAATCGCGATGTGGAGTCTTGACAAGCTATTCCCCCAAACACCGAGGTCATGTCTTGGACACACGATCCTTGAGCTTGCGGCAGTTCCGCGGCTGCGCAGCTCCAATTCTGATAACTGGGGCCTAACGATCTTGCAGCACATCTCCACCACACATCAGGCAGAGCATCAATGCAAAGACACCTCTCTAGAAGTAGCAAACATGCACTCACTCCTGCCAAGCCTGAGGAAAGAACTTCCTTATGATATGGGGATGCTGCAGTGCCAACTGCGTAGATGAAGCATTGCCGGTGCGAGACCTTCAACTCAAGTGGCCTGAGAATGTCCTGTGACAGGTGTTGCCGTTGCTGACTCAAGTAGAAAGATCAGTTGATCTCTTACACCAAAAACAAAGAGACACTGCATCAGGCATTTGCTTGAAACGCGGCTTCCAAGCAGGATCCAAGCAGCGGGCACAGCTGCCAGAACTGGTGCCAACACGGACTGTACCCAGCCTGGCCGATGACGATGAGGGGACTTTATTGTAGTCGTATCCGTACTATTGATTACCCGGGGTGCTAAGCTTCCGAAACCGGCCTCGGACGAGTAGATTCTGGCTTATGAACAGCTTCAGGGGCGTTTGTGTGTCTGAGACGCTCCTTCTGCCAGCGCTCGAAAGATCCGAGAACCCCGAACCCCAAAACAGAAGTAGCCACATGGAGCGGCAAAAAGAAGCCTCCAAAGTCTATAGCCCATGATCGAAGCTGAGGCACTAGGCAAAGCAGCAGCTGAGCAAACCGGAGCCCATGCCTCTCTGCAGCACCGGGTGCGAAAGTTTTGGACATCGGAAAACCAACATGGATGTTTTTGCTCGGGCCATGGATTGGATGTTTGAATTTGGCCAAATTCTGTGGTATGCTTGAGGATTCAGCAAACAGACCATGCATTCGGTCGCATGATGCTTGGCAGGAACTGGCTTTTCAATCGCATGGAGCCTATGAGCCTCACTACATGGGGAGACTGCATGACATGATGAATGGCGGTTGTCATCAGCATTAAGTTGGGCAGGTTGTGATTGGTCCATCGGGAGCTTGCCGCTCTAGATGTGACCCTCCTGATTGTCAGACTGGGGAAATCTGTCCAAAGCCGCATTGGGGGATCGATGGATGCGACTAGAGCATGTTGGGAGAGCGGGCAGGCAAGCTCGAAGATGCCAGAAAAGGCTGAAAAAGCAAAGAAAAGAAGGGCTTCAAAGCACACAGTCCTGGCTGGGGAGAGAGGGGACCAACTGCCCAAGCTGTCTCCTTGTTTCTCCTTTAAAGTCCTGAATGAAAGCCAGGGCGACTCCCTGCCTCGATCCACAGCTAAGCCACTAGGAACGGACCGAACATGACCCAATCTAGCAGTCTTGCAAGCCGACAAGAAGAACTCCAGGGGGAGGGGGGGAGGGGGGGGGGGGCCGGAGAGCGCCTGTGCATGTCGGTCTGCTTCTGATCCCCGGTCCTCCGGGGCCCAGCGCTGGAGGCTGAAGCCTGGGAAGCATACAACAAACCCGACGTACACGAGAGAATGTATGACCGAGTCATTGCGAGAGCGACGGTGAGCAAGAGTGCGTGAAGGCTACAACACCATCTCAGCTGTTGCAACTCGCAGCCCTCTGCCTTGTGGACAGTGATGGTTCGACTCACATGCCATTGCCCGAGGACGTGTTTTATGCATGCGGGCTGAGAGTCGGGACCCTCGTGGCCGACCAAATCTTTCCAAACCTGCAGGCTGCACACTTACTGGTAGCTGCTACGAGTCAGCATGCCAGAATCGCAAACTCGATGACCCCACAGGGACCAAGTCCGCTCGGGGCAAGGCGCGATTCGCCGCTGCCTCGCGCTCCACGCAATGAGCATCGGGGCCTTCAGAATTCCAAAAGGTGGGAGTTAAGACTTAGTTCTTCTCGCCATGGGTTTCTGGTTGCTGACAGGAGCAGCTCAAGTCGATCGACACTTGGCAGTTCGGTGAGGTGCGCTCATTGTGCGACCTTTTTGCAGTCTGCAGCGTCCCAAGATGTTCCGAGGGCCCGGCGCCCAAGTGCCTGAGGCACAGCACAAGGGGTACGTCTGGAAACGTCAGCATTGATTTTTGTACTGGGCTTCGGGGCGCCCCCGTGAGGTAAGACCTCTCTCGATACATTTTGCGCGCCAGGAAAAGCTTTGCATTGCTGGCTTCACAGATTGATGCAGATGAGAAGGGCCCCACACAGCCAAGTTTATTCAGCATCACCCGAGTGCTCGACTCTGAACCGGAATCCGTCTTTTGCACCATTTTGCTGTACCAGTACCACCACTTTCTACGTGGACTTCGGACCGACTGATACTCTCGGACCCTGACACATGCCAAAAAAAGAGGCCTTTTGCACACCGAAACGAGGCGCCTCGTGGTAGTCCGGACTGCACACGGCCTAGGCGGTCTGGGCGCGGGATTGCATGTGTTTACTGCAAGCCCTGCGAGCTTCGTTGTGCCGGTGGCGAAGTTGACATAGACTCTTCTTGATAATCTTAAGGACAGGGTGCAGTTTAGTCCGAACACGCCATGCAGAAGGGTTGCAACTGTCTCGGCACCTTTTGGCTGGCGAAAAAAATCTGCTTTGAACAAGGTCTGTGCTAAACGGCGTA